GGTATTGAGGAATTATTCAAGATCCTATTACCAAAGATTTGTGATAATTTGGTATATTGTAATTCAGGACATTATATAGCTAAAGAATTTTAAAACTTTAGTAGGTCAACTAAGTTACTATATTTAAAATATATTGCAGTAGGCCTTTCTAGCATTTGACAAGCGAATTATCCACATGATTTACAAAGTGGAAATATTTTGGTAGAAAAAATAGATATGAATCATTTATTAAAATAGGTGATTTAGGATTATGTAAATCTACTACTGAGTTGTAGAAATGAAACCTATGGAATTATTCCTCGTGTGGCCGCCCGGTGATTTATATAAGGCAAAAATTTACCAACATCAGATATTTATGGTTTTAGATTATGTGAGTAGACCTTTTTTGGATCGTGTTCATTATACTGAGCTTATTTTTGATATTTTTAATTAATATTTTCGGCGATAAATAGTTATAAATGATTACAAAAAAATAAAAAATTATTCTATTGTACTGTATATTTATTGAATTGTGATTTCAACAAAATGAAAAGATATATCGTACACCATTTGAAACTATAATTATAATTCGAAACCTTCACTTTTTACAGAAAACTAGGAGCCACCACCACCATCGATACCATGATAAATGACAAACGATCAAAGTCATTTGAGCATAATGTTATAAAGAATTTTGGGCTATTTTATATATTTTTATTTTTATTTTCAATTATTAAAGCTATCTGAATATGATTGAAATGACTAAACAACCTTTAATTGGGTTGTGAAATGTAGTTTATCCGAATAGAGATGGTTACGACCCGATACAGTTGGACCGAACAATAAAAAGAAATGAAAACTAAAAACGAAAATATACCACGCTTACTTCTGAAATGAGTCAAACTTACGCCCGCAGCGTCAAAACCCGCCTAAATAATAATAATAATTATAATAAAATAATAAAAACCTTACCTGTAGCTATCCAACCCGAAAAATTATTTTTTACTGTATATGTAAGTTTACACTTTATTCAATGGCTTACTTGGAAAGATTTCATGAAGTTTAAACATATGTATGAACATGACATTTTACGAATATCTTTTTGATATGCTTTTCTTCGGCTAATTGTAGAATTTAAATCTTCCACAAGAATCATTATATTTTTGGGTTTACTATTTAAACAAAAAGAAATTTGACTTTCTGCTTGACCGTCTATATCGTGTTCTTACTCTTTATTTACTTTATTTTATTTTTTTCTTAGAAAATATCAATAACATCATGTTTCCGATTTGTCATGTTGCGTCCTTATAAAAATACGATGGGCTTTTCTTGGGAATTAGGCATGATCATTTCTTTATTTTTATTATAAACAACTTCCTTCCCTTTTAGTATTGCGATATTGTCATTTTTATTATTTTTATTATTATTTTACCCGATAATTTAATCTTATTTATTTTTTCTTTTATTCTCGGTTTTAATTAATTTTCATTTAGCAATTAGCGTTAACTCGGAGCCGATGTTGAGGCAACATTTGATAAATTAATTTTTACAAAATAATTTTTACATCATATTTGCCTAATTCTAATGATAAAAATCTTCTGCTTAAATTTATCCTTTGTTTATAAATATAAACGAAAAGAACTGAATGCAACTGTGTTCTAAGAAAGAAATCAGGTCGCGAAATTTTAGTCGCACCGTACCGGTAATATATAAATTAGAAGAACGATTCTTTAGTACTAGTCTCTTGACTTGACGTTGATATCGCAATGAATTAATTATTATTAAATTTGTAATGTAAAAATTTTAACAATTGAAGTTTCTTTTATTTCAATTATTAAAAAATAATTTTCTATTGTAGGGCAAATGCACCATATTAAAATAAGTTATTGTTTTTGTATTTTAATTTTTATGTAGCAATTGCCTTTTTAATTTAATTTATTTTGACAGAAAAACCGTTGAATCAAAAAATTATCAATATGTCAGTAATAAATTCTGGTTAATGATGCAGATACGAATCAAGTACGAATTCTCTTAAATCTATAATTATATAAATGATATATTGATCTGAAACATCGGACAAGCGAATCGTACCGTAACGGTTTCCGTCCACTCATTACAAAACGGCGTAACAACTAATATTAGCCGACGAATTGATTATAATTATTGTTGCGGGTTCTTTTTTACTATTAAGAAATTATAAATATAATGCAAATTTGTTATGATATAAACGTAGAAAGTCTTTCAGAAGCATTTTATGACTATTTACTTTATATTATTATTTACTACTACGTCTCAGGAATAGCTGTTCTAAATAAAATTATCATAACCTACGACACATGGCATTGGATTTTTTTTAATCTTCTAAACTACTTTGCTCATGTTGCAAAATCGAAAGTTGCGAACCGTGAAATTACGATTAAAGTCAATTTGAAATTTAGACTTTTTGAAATTGAGATTGAAAAATATATAAAATGTTAGAAAAAATTCAAGAATCAAAACTTTGCTCCAAGCATTGGATTAAACATCTCTCGCGAATATTTATTAAAAATATATGTAATATATATATATTTTAAAGAAATTAGGAATTATTGATATGTTGTTTAATTTCGGTTTTACATTTTAGGAATAAACATAATTAAAATAAGAATTATATACTTAATTTAATTGGACAAGATTAAATTTTTTTGTTTTCGTATTACTATTATTACTTATTATGGAGATTTCTAGGAAAATCAGACTCCGAGTAATTTTTGACCAAAATAAAGAGCTTAATGCATTTTAATCTAAACTAAAATGCAATAATCTTCCTTTACTCGCCGTAAAAACCTTTTCACATTTTGTACGACCCTCGGCGTATATGTTTGTCACACACAAAGTTCTTTTTTTTTTTTTGATAATTACTTTGTTTGGAGAATATCACTTTTTTCCTTTTAAACCGAACCTGCATATTTAAATTAGATATCATTATTTGTGGTTTTTCATCATCTAAAACATGGCAGCCGCAAAACAAATAGACGAATACGTTTATCTTGGTTGGTTAGAAAAGGCAATTTCAGAAAAATATATTAAATATTATAATTACGATAAATTCACTAATAGGGAAGAAATCAGCAGTTGTTCCTATGGAAACGTTTCTCGTGCAAGCTGGGGAGATTCCGGTACTATCATGGCCATAAAATATTCACAT